TAACTCTCAGATGGTATTACACTACTTATACTAAATATTTAGAACCACCAGAAGGATACGTATGTAAGCTTTGTAATATTCCCGGCCATTATGTGTCCCGATGCCCTCAAGCTGGAAATAAAAGAAAGCTTCCAGATGGATACATATGTCGTATATGTAATCATGAGGGACATCATATTACAGAATGTCCACATGCTGAAATGCAAAGATCAAGAAGGCCCAAACGTGATGGTTTCATTAGTTATCGGCTGATCATGTAGGATCAAAGTGTTGGTTTTGCTTGTCAAATGATGTAGAGACACATTTAATTGTCACAATCATTTCCGATACCTATGTATCATTGGCAAAAGGTGGCTTGGTAGAAAATCATATGTTGATTGTTCCGGTGATGCACTATTCCAATTCGCGTGAGCTAGAGTTGATTACAGATGAAGAAGGATTAAGTACAGTAAAGTCTATACAAGAAGAAATATCAAAGATTAAGACAGAAGTAGAATCCGTGTTTAGAAAGAAAGGACAATGCGTTGTGTTCTTTGAAGTTTTTGGTGGTGGAGATCAAAATAGTCCAAATACTCGTGTACATCATATGCATATTCAGGTATTCGTTCAATTATTGTTAATAGAAAGATGGTTCCTATCCCCGAAGAGTTAGAAGAAATGGTAGAAGATGCATTCAAAACCGAAGCTGAAAACGAAGGGTTGATAGCCCAAGAAGCACTTCCCGAATCATCATTTTGGCCATTTATTCGGGTTCACTTGTTTGGACGTACCCCAATTGTCTTTACCCCACCAGAACCAACCGATGGAGTGCTGATTCCATTCAACTTACAGATGGCCAGGTATAATATCCTAAACACTTATGCTGTAGATTTGTTTTGGCCAACCTTATTGGAAAGCCAGAGTATGCTAATTGGAAGAGGTGTATATTGGAGGAAGATGAAGAAACTGCTCAAGCTGAATCTCTTAGAAATATTTTATCTCTTGAATAAACTAAGCATATTTCACATTGCCATCGTGTTTAATAAAATTGGGCATTTATCAAAATCTTATCGCGGCTTGTTTAATCATACACCATTTATCAAACAGCTTTTAAAAATGCTACAATGCCCAACACAAGTAGCGGAATCCATTACAATTAATAGTGAAAAGTTTCAACGATTGAGAGAAGATGCTGCGATGTTAGACTGTACAATTGTTTATGGACAAAAAGAACGACAACTGAACAAATTCTTCACTTCTCTAAGATCCGGATACTTTTATTCATCCTTCCATACCTTTAAAACAAATGAAATCAACTTAACTGAATGCCCTTTTGATGAACTAATTATCGAAGCAACCTTGGATTTCATATACTTTGATTTCAAACAGAATGATATTATACAATGGATTCTTGAAGGAAAACCTGTTGATGATTTATATGAATCATCGCAATATTTTCAAATCGATGATTTGGAATTGACCATCAAAAACGCTTTAACGTTCATTAAAGGCCAACATTCCAGCAGGATAACAGATACAAATATATTCATCAATTATTTCAAAAGCCTGGATAAACTGTTTAAATTGAATGAACTAAAAGACCTTACTTGCTGGATTTTTGAAAGTGTACAAATTCAATATTTCGATTACCTTCGCAACACTCTCTCAGATTTTCCCATGAATTCATTCAAAACAATAATTGCACAAGAATTTTCATTGTTGAATGAAGAAGAACGGTTCTCTATGGTTTTATCAGCATATCAAGACCGAACTGAACAAGATCAACTAATTTTGAAACCTATTATTTTAAATCATTTTGATTTTTCCCAAATATCTCCTGCTATTGCATTAGGAATTGCTTCCTCATTAGATGAGGCAAAGCATATTTATCACATTCAGTCAAATGCGCGATTTAGAAGATCAGCTCAACCTTTAATATTTCAAAACAATTTTATATATAATTCGACTGTGGATATATGTAGTACAATCGCATTCACTTATAAGGAACAAGAGTATGAAGCTCAGATCGAGGATAGTGTGGATCAACCAGAGTACTTTAAAGGTAAATTAGATGTAATTAAATTATTTTCAGGTGCTTATATGTCATTTGATTTTGAGCAAATGATGAATGATAAAAAACTACCAGAGTTTCAATTAACCTTATTGGAAACGTCGACTTTTCGTGTACTAACTAAATTTTGTGGGTTTCAATCAAAATCTTATTCAGATTATTTGAAAGAATACAATGATCGAGACTGGTATGGGGAAAGTCAGTTTATAAACAAGGCGGATTTGACACATGGTTCAGAGTACACGTTCATAGTGAAATTCTATGGTTATACTGCTTGGAATTGTGATTGATAATAAAGAGTATTGTCCTGGTCACTTTTGTTTTTTCCAATGAAATCAACAATAATAGCAATAGGTAGTGCGCTATTAGCATCATCATGTTGTGTTATCCAACTGATTTTAAACTATGTTTCTTATACTTGCGCTGGATTCAGTGTGTTAACACCTTATCGGATCGAATTCACCACGATTTCAATCATACTTTTAACAGTGATCTCCTTACGAAATGGATTTTTGAGGAGTATTCCAACCATTACCATTTCTATTCTATTGATGAATTCACCCGAAATCTTACATTGGTACAACAAAAGTGAGTATTCTTTAGAATACTTGAAATTGTCATCCCCTCCACTATTGAAGTATCAGACTTGTATTAAATATCAGTATTCGATCAAAGGTTTGAAATGTGAAGGTTGTGCGCAAAAACTCAAGTCAACAATTGATTCTGTGGATGGTGTTCGTTCTAGTTCAGTTGATTTTCAATCACCTCAGTATAGTAGTCTTAACGTTATGATGGTCGACAAACATGATGAATCATTGTTATTGAATTCAGTTGCTAGGTTGGATTTTTCATATCGTATGCATTTGGAGAATCTTGAGAAAGGAATACGTTGTTAATGGATATAACCGTTTTTACATACACACACACATCCGTGATTTCCAATGCATCTGTTTGTCCAAATCATTCGGAAATTGATTTAATAAAGTTCACCAAGCAATCGTTTGCTCCATTATCAGTATCGTGCTCTATACCCTCTCATTCAAAATTTCTTAATTTTTTTTTCACTTGAATTCTAAATGGGTTTGGTTGATAATGTCATTCAAGGACTGGCCCGAGGAGCTGCTAGAAAGCCTTTGACTTCAAAGCAAGGAAACAAAAACTTTTATAAAGGAAATCGTTCAGGAAGAATGGGGTCTTGGACTAGAAGAGGTAATATTCAAAATCTTAGACAAAACAGGACATTATGTTATCGAACAATGGAGAAAAAGACAGTTCGTTGCTCCGGATTTGGAAGATTTCAAGGTAAACAATAGTGTACAGTAACATGAATATAGCTGCAACCATACGTGTCTCCTAAAGCAGATGATAGATTTAAAAATTCTCACACAGTGGTTGATTATTTTCAACTTGAGAACTCTGATTTGAAAGATAATTTAAATGAAGCTTGTTATAGTAGAGCAATGAACATATGGGAAAAGATGGATAAAAATGCACATGATAAATATTTGATAAAGAATAAACAGTAAAAGCTGCTTTTTAATGCTCTCTTATTCGTCTCATTGCTTTATTAAAATGACGTGTCTGCAGAATCATCCAAAACAAGTTGTTGGATTGTTAACCAATTAAAATCAGAATCAAGTACATATTAAATAGAAGGTACATACGTGGAATCAGTGCAACATCCTGGCTAATCTCATTTGGATCAAAAGGTTTGATTGGATCCAATTGTTTGGTCATATTTGGAAGTTGAAACTTTGAATTGCACGTCAAAGTCACCACCTTCCCATCATTGTTTAGAACTGAGATACTCTGATTCCAAGAAGGTGGATTATTAACCATGACGTATTGGTAGCTTTTGACTCTTGTGATTGTTGGGCCATCTATTGCATTCAGTATGGTATATGATGTTACAAGCTCCTCCCATCTCTTCTAGCTTCTGTTTTCGTGTTTCTAAAAACCTACTGTCATTGCAAATTTGCCTACTTTTCTAACCATTTCAATTCAGCATTCGCATTAATGGATTCTGGTAGTCTTCCTGTTCGCTTTACCAAGTCTTTAGTCCCTTCAAGTCCTAATTGTACACTTGAGTCATATATTTGCCCAATTGAGACTAAACTTAGGCTCTTTCTCTATTACCAGATAGCTTCATCCCAATTGTTTGAGAAAAGTCAAAGGCAGGAAACCAATATCTACGAGCGAGTACTTGAATTTGACATTGTTGAAAGGAAGGTTGTTTGGATGCCAAGGCCCTGTAATATTAAACAATCCAAATATGCATACCACGCAGAGCAAAACCCTTCCAGGCCTAGTAAATTAATAAGAACTTACTTCACCATTGACATCACCATTCAAGTCTTTGGTTTGTAAATAGTTCTTTTTGATAGCATCTAGTGTAGAATTCATAGTCGTAAATTCATTTGGATGGTTGATCGCTGTGTATTCTTCAATAACTTCTTGTGCTGAACCAGCTCCACTAATATCATTACGCGATTTATTTGTACTTACGTTGTGAACTGAATAATCCCCGCGCTATAACCATGATTGTCATCCAAGATAGTACATATCTCGAATTGAAATCGATTGGTTAGCTTAAATGTAAAAAGTACCTTGGATTACTAGTTTCGAAAATATTCGTCAGTTGCAGAATCATATCAATATCGCAGTTTGACATTGTTGTTACAAAATGAAGTAGCGTAAGTTTAAAATACATTGTTGAACATCAAATACATTGGGATCGCGTCGTTTTAATTCAATTTGGTATGAAAACTAATATGGTTAAGTGTGGGAAAAGGATCAGATCGTGTGACCTGCTTGTAGTTTAATATGAATCTTCTATCAGAATACATTGGATTTCCTATAATACTAACTATGTCATTTCTATTTTCATATATGACAGCTATAATACGCTCACCATTAAATTTGTGTGAAAAGGAAAAAGAAAAAATAAGATCGACAACGGCAGGGTTCGAACCTGCGCCCTCGTAGAGGAATGCCTTAGCAGGGCATCGCGTTAACCACTCCGCCACGTTGTCTTTCTTGAATTTTTTGTCCCAATACCCACTATAAACAAACTCAACTCCTCTACTAACTGACCCTAACAAAACATACATGTGGAACAACCAATATAACAACCAATATAACCACTACAGTATTTGTATTGATATTTAATTACTTCCACCATTCACAATAATCACCATTGATTGCGAACGCTAAAACGTATCATTGTTGGACGAATCTCTTTCAATAAATTCACTCAGGAATTGACTTGCGCTGTCTTATCGTACATATTGAAGTGTATTTCATTGACAGTAATCAATTTTTTAAAATGGTAACATTCCATAGCGAGTCTGCTGGTACATGCATTACCGCTTTTCATTAAAATGTATTTGGTAATGCTTAAGTTAACCAAACCAAAGTTCTTGGAAGTTAGTTTTCCATGGTATTGGACTTGAAATTGCCGATATGTATTTGGAAAAAGTTGGTTTAAGTGACATATAGTAATGATTGGAATGAAAGCCATTTCTGTATTTGCAGAGTAGATTTGTTATGGAACACAAGATCACACGAGCTCAAACAAACGACTGACTTGCAAAGAATTCCTAGATTGAATACCATTAGAAAGCAAGTAATAATTTCACTTAATTGAATTCAAATCATTGTCTTAACTAATTGATCTATCGTAGTATGACCACCCCATGCAGTCTCGTCAACATACATCATAGCAGATGCTTAAATATGAAATTTGTTAATCATTAAATCCAACAATAGTCCTATCCCGAATGATTCTGGACATGATGAATTACCGTTTTATGGAATGGTGAATAATAATAATAAATTTATTGAATCTGTCATTTTCAGACTGATAAATTTAATAATAATCGAGTATCCTTTGTGATAAAGCTAAGATATATATTTTGAATTGATCAAAACCAAGTCTCCATTTTATGGCAAGAAATGGAATCCGTGCACCAAAACAAGTAATTTAAAAATAACAATTCATTCCAATAGTAAAACCAAACATGGAATAGCACCATAAGACTGAAAGAATTTCAAATTTAACCTTAATTAAAGATCCAGAAATTCTATCTATTAATTGCCCAAACAATGCTTACACGATCCAAAGGCGAAACAATTTATTTTAATATTCAGCCAATCAGCCAATCTTCAAACATTGTCTGTCTGATGATGGATTGAATGACACTGAAAACAATACTAAGATGAGTGAATTTTGAAGTTCTTTGAATTACTCCTTTGGTTGTATAATGTACCATTTAAAGGTTCTCAACAGATTAAGATGATTGAAGAAAAGAAAAGAATTGTTAATCGGTATGTAGTATCTGGTTATATTAAACTGTTGGTGTAAATGTTCGGATAGAGTATGACTTTAGCTATCAGCTTTTTGTATTACCTGTTGGAGTATTATATGTCTTCTCATGAATCTTTGTTGTTGAAGAAGGTACACAATACGATCTTCACGCACTTATTTGAAGACTCTCAAATTACCATATTAACATATTTCGTAGGTAGAAGATGAAAAACTCGTTGGTGATGAACCGCTTTCCACTCAAAAAGAACTATCCAAATTCAAATATTATTTCAATATTTTGATAGAAGTTATCTTTACATTCTGATACATTAAAGAAAAGGGTACACGTATTCAGAAAATGGTAATGTACCATGATTCAATATCAACTTTTTTGGACTTTTACCAGTAGTAGTGATAGGTTTTGATTTTAAAATCATACTGCTGGATTTTATGATCAACAAAAGAAATAATGACATTGACTTAAATAAATTGGACTCATGCTATAATGTATGCTGACAAGACTGGATGGAGTAGTCATCTTAAGTTAGATCAATTTGATTAGAAACTCATTTAGTAAAAAATAGTTAAGACATTTATTGAAATTTTATTGAATAATTAGTCAAATGAGGATGAGGCGGACGGTATTTGATCATCATCCGACTCCTGTTGACGGAATTTTTTAATTCCACTACGAAGGTGCTCGGTCAACGAATCTCGTGTCCTCTTGCTTCCTTTAAGAGGTGACACGTGTTTTAATTTAGCCTTTTGTTGTTCAATGTCTCGAAAAAGCTCTCGATGTGGAGCTCCCACCTTTAACCAGAATGGTTTGGCTGCTGTGACCGGTGCCGTTTTTGGCCGAACGTTTGCACCGTCAACCAAATCTAGTTCGGCAGGGACTTTAAGGATTGATGAAGCACATGCATCGGACGATGCGAGAGTGGATTCACCATCCGTTGGTGGTCCAAAAAGAGGCATTGCCAAAATCTCTTGGCGGATTTCGTCCAATTTATCCAAAACCTTATCAGTAAGGTTTTCCAGTATAGGCAGTTTTGAGAGTTCAAAATAATATGGTGATTTTTTTTTTAATCACTTCATAGTATATTGAATCTCTCTCCTCCAGAGTTCTACCATTTTTCTCTATGAAAGGTTAAAACTATTGTAGCATACCAGGGAATCTGCAGCCCGTTATTTGATATTGGACCGCTTGTGTGAGTCCCGAAAAACTACTGTAACACTTGATTAAAAAATAATCGAGAATTTTTGTATAGCTGGCCTTACTCGGTATCTGATCCTTCATCACCACCTCTTTCAGCTGAACTAGATTTAGTTGACAGTCTAAACGTACCACCCAGTCCTAATACTACACCTCCGAATTGGCCTAATTGGGTAAATCATCCCCAATTCCAAATCAGCTGTCCACTTGACAGATGCATTGTTTAACAATTAGTATCGTGTCGTTTTGAATCAATTTGGTGTGAACTTTGAAAAGGTTGAGTGTGGGAAAAGAATCAAATCCTATGAACTGAAAGAAGTTAAATGTGAATGAATCTATCTTTATCATGTGAACTAATTGCAGTTTAAAGTGAATCTATCATAGTATAATCGTATTTGGGTTACGCAGTATATCGCATTGACATTTGCATAAATGACAGCTATAATACGCTCACCATTAACAAGATATCTATTTGTGTGAAAAGGAA